TTATGTTTTTCTAGATTTTGCCTGTTTATTCTCCGAACAGTAAGGTATGTTTTCTTGGTATATGTGTCTAAGATATGCTTTGGTTCGTATTTGTTCTCATGTTATATCTTTCTATTTATATTTTTATATATTTGTATATTTTAGTTTCTCATATGGTTTGATTGATGTTCTGTTAGATCTTCTACGCCTGCGACTCCTTATAGTAACGATATAGAGAGACAAAGACTCAATTGGGTGAGATAGGCGGCTCACGGCGGATGCATTTCCGCGTATAGTTTCATATATGATCTTTACTGAACAGCGTGGATGGTGGATGGTCCATGATGCAATGTCACAGGTAGAAGACATCACACGATGACATCTTTGTCTGAAAACCTAATTTAACTCATAAACACATAATTTTCTAGACGTTGAGCGGCCTTTCGCATGTACATAATTGATTGTCATTCAACTTAATGTGTGATAACTTTATCGTGACCATGAAGGCCGGCAAGTCGAGGCCGCGAACTATGCCGAGGACATTTCAAGATGAGAGTAAATATAGGACTAGAGATTCAAGATTTGTAACCATGAATTGTGCAATTGGAAAAAATATGTTGCAGCATTGGGGGCGAATCAAGTTGGACTGGCTACGAGTCGTTTGTTCTGATCCTGCCGGCCATCACCACCGTCCGGAGATCTTCACTTGCCTCTTGGTGACATAGATGATCTTACTCTTGGGCAACTTTTTTCTATAGACCGAACTTAGTTATTTCGTATTTTTATGTTTAGTTGATTTGATTTTCTTTAAAGTCGAATAAAGATATAGATTTGAAGATCCAAATATTAAATGATTATGCTGTGTTATATGTTTTCCATTATGATTTATTTGTTTAATAAAAATGTACATATACAAAGGAAAAGTCAACTTTATAATTAGAAAAGGTAATATTTACAAAATTGCTAGATAAAGAAAAAGAAAAAAAAAGGGAATTTTCGATTTTCTAATATATGATTTAATGAGAATATTGAGATAACATTGATCATTAAAATGGATTAATCTTCATAATCATTGGGTTTAAATAATAATAGATGTTTTATGATAAAGATGAACGGCTAATTCCGTTGAATTTATTATAATATACTAAATCCTAATATAACTTTATCGTGATCATGAAGATTTTTTCACTCATAAAATATTATCGATATAAAACTATATATAATCAAAATATTATCGAATTTTGAATTGCAGTTTTATTTTGTGTTTGATCGGTTATTTAAGTATGATTTATAAGTTTATTAGCATTAGTATACGATTATATAATACTCCATTACGAAGTACATTATTTTATCAAATAATTTTGATGTTTTTTTAAATCTTTTTTGAAAAAAAAATTGTTACTGAACATGTATAAACTTAGGA